CCCCCCCCCCCCCCCCCCCCCCCCCCCCCCCCCGCCTCTCTCTCTCCTTCTTCTTTCCTTCTTTCCTTCTTTCTTCTTCCCAACAGTAACATGAGATGTTACTGACCTTTCTAAGAAAAACCCGGTGGTTTATTTTGCCTAGAGCAAATGTCACGTTACACACTAGTAGCATGAGAGCATTAGTCATTTTCAGAGAACTTGATGGAACTGAATCTCCTGGCCAGCACTTGGGACTGTGATGGGCTGCAGCATCTGTTTGTCTTAACTGCTAGGAGACCGTTTGCGGGTGGGATGCTTCAGCTCTGAATTAGCCAGAAGCTTAGAGGAAAACATTCTTGTTTGGCTCCATCTGCTAAATATTTCTATTGGTATGAGCAAGTATAGTCTCTCAAATTGGACAGGATTAGCTTAGAATAGACATGTAAGGATGTGTCACTAAATTACCAAAGGTCTGTTCACAAAAAGAAAAATTGGATATAATCGGCATTGACATGGGCAGCAGGACTCTCTACTTTTTAATGCATAGTGGAAGAGGCAGTAGTTATTTTATTATTGTTTTGTTGTTGTTGTGGAGTTCTTGGTGCTCTTTGAGCTTGGTTGTTTGCTTGCAGACGTTTCATTACCCAACTAGGTAGCATCGTTGTTATTGTTGTTGTTGTTGTTGTTGTTGTCGTTATGGTTGGTCACACAGTCAGCCAGATGTTTAGACTGGATTTGGCATTTTTATCCACCAATTGAGTCCTTCCTAAGAACCTGGGATAGGCAGATGTTGTCTGATGGTGTTAAAGGTATCATCACAGGTTATAAGCTGTTCCAAGCAAAGCTGCCTTTTGCAATTGCCTGATGGTGATTTTGTCAATGCCGGTGGTGGTGGTATCATCATCATCAGCAGCAGCAGCAGCTGGAATTCTCAGTGTATACTGTGGTCTTTCAGGTGCCTATCTTCCACATCATCCCTGATGCCCTAAGGGGTGATCAGCACCCAAGTGGTCCTGAACTTAGTACAGAATACATGCATGTCTCAAAACTCAGAGTTTTCACAACTCTAGTTTTGAGTGATGAGTTTTGTGCACATTACCTTGCATATAAAGCCACCAACAAGGTGACATGGGTATGAACAGGTACAGTTCTGCTGTCCACTCTGTTTCATCTATCATTTCTTTTTTTAAAAAAAAAATTCAGATGTTTGGCAATGCATTTGCGGAAAGGAACAAAATGGGACATTTTACTATCCTTGCCTTTATGATCACATTATTTATGTGCTGTCTCTTATTAACACTAAATTGCAGGTCTTCCTGCACTGCACATACTCTAGAAATAGAAACTGTAAATCTGTGAAGTTTTTGCCCTTCTTAGTGCTAAGAGAAGAGAATATGTGTGGAGGAGGGGCACTGCCAATCTTGCCCCAAGTTTACAAAAACTCTGAGAGTAGCATGAAGCATCTAATTGGGTGAAAGGGCAGGGACAGAGAGGAGAATGGCAAGGAAAGTACTAGAAAGGATCAGGGGGAAAAAATAGATGGATTAAGTTGAAGGATTTAAATATTAAGGTTACAGAAAAGCACTAGACAAATGAAGGTAAAGACAGTAGTAAATTAAAGGGTAGAAGGACAAAGTAAATTAAGGTAGATCACATCCAACAAAAGAGCAAAGATCATTGTTAAGAGCTGTTGATTTATTTTTCAGGAAGAAAAAGAGCTGGACTGCATGTAATCCCAGAATCCTGAGATCATACACTAAAATTCAGTGGCAAACCACCAAGTAACAGTGGCAGATTTTTTTTTTTTTAATCTGAAAGAAAATTTAAAAATGAAAGAAATTTGAGTTACAAATTCTAGCCTCACCTGTTCTGGTGACATCATAATATGCTCCATTGTTTTCTGTGATCCTAAATAGTAACTTCTGCAATTAGGTAGAAGTTATATTGTTCTCTGTAGAGTATATTCTTATGATAATATTTTTTCATAAATTTCAGGAAATATTTTATGTACCTCTTAATTTCTGAAACTAAAAAAAATCATGCACTAAATAAAATATGGCAATCCCATTCCAATCTCTCAAAATGGCATATGTTAGAGGAAAAGTAGTAAAGAGAAATGAACTAACTTTAGGAAATAAGAGTATCTACTATTCTGCAAGTGTAGAGAATTAGTTTTCAATGGAAAATTAATGACTTAATGTTTCTTTGAACAAAATATGTTTATTCTTCTTTTCCAGCTGCAAAGTTATTGATTCCGAATCTGAAAATCGTCTTAGACTGAACCAATGTATAGAAGAAGCAATGATGAATTTCTTCTTGTTCCTCCAAGAAATGTCTCATTTTAAAGAACAGAACCCTGGCAAGGTAAAATTAAGCTTGCGGTGTCCTCCATTTCATTGCACTAATTTTTTTTTTAGTTTTGCCAATAATCTTACATAAAAAGGTTAACATTTCATCCTATACATAGGCTAGATTAGTGAGTGAATGGAATATTACTAGGGAATCCCAGATCTGTAAACTAGATTAGGAAGTTAAAAACATCCTGGAAGAAGGCAATGGCAAAGGACTTCTGTTCTGTTGCTAAAAAAACTGCATAGACACGTCCATGAAATCACCAGCAGTTAAAGTTCACTCAAAGGAGACTTACCTTTTCACATAGCTCTACAGAAGTAAGTCACACTTAAGTTCAATAGAACGTAGTATTGTAGGCATGCAATATAAGAAATTATGAAATATCCTATAGTCGCATTAAAAATACAATAGTTGCCCAATGGAATAATTTATTTCATTTTTATGGACACAGATGGGCATTCCAAGGCATTGTATGAGATGGATATATGCGTGTGGTCCAAAAAAAGATGCTTTAAGATCCACTGAAATGTTGCAGAGGATGCTGGAATGACAAAATGATCCTCAGTTGTGCTCTAACATTCATTCCCCAATACTGCAAATAATATTTTCTTGTGCACCTTTGGATCATATAGTACTGCTTGAAGTGATGAGATACTCTAAGCCTAATCACACTCAGAATTTGCAAATTGGTTTCCTGCAAGATCTAGAAATAGTGCAACTATTGGCCTATTACTTCTGTATCATTTCTTTTGGCTATTGGAGCTCACGTCTACATAATAAGTAGATAATCTCTCTCTCTAATGGGATGCCAGTGTATGGACATTTCTAAAGGGAGTGTGTGCCCAAAGGAGGTACACACACACACATACACACACACACACACATTAAAAATAGCAAGGAGTCACATAATTCCTAGTTTCCCCCCAAACTAACCACATTGAGAATCATACATGCACATATATCTCATAATACTAGAGAGTATCTGACAGAGGGCTAGTGGTCAAATGCCAGCCATAGACTCCAAGGACACAGTTCATACCTTCATAGCCGATTTAAGAGCCATTGTAATCTCTCATGCTACAATGCTAGGATTCTCTCTGTGGCTGATCCCCTAAACTAGAGCCACTAAACAAAGGGTAAACTTCAGTAGCAGAAGATACCTTCTTTGAGTATTCCTGTTCCTACTTTTTGTGTAATAAAGGAAAAGGAAAGGACAAAACAAAATCCCTTTGTTCCTCCCTGTCAGTTCTGTTTTTCCCATCTACAGTATATAATACAGATTGTGCTCCCTGTCTATTCTCCCTGAAACTCCTCCAACTGTTTTACAGAAAAAGTAATTCTAATGGAACATTCTACAGGTCCAGTCCCAGGACCCATTAACAGTTTTATATGTTATAGATACTGAATGTTACAGACTGATCTAATAGACACTTGTTATCTTTTTTAAAAACAGTTTTGCCTTCTGGTCTGCAGCATATGCACATTCTTCACAGTCTTGGGAAGTTACATTCCTGGAATTGTACTCTCCTATCTTCTATGTAAGTTCTTTCAAATGCTTGAGGAATCTGGTCTGAAATTTCTTTGGTAGCATTGTAGATGCCCATTGCAACATATATAACCATGTTCACACAGTATTCATAATTGCAACAAGATGAGTACTAAGGAGAATAAAATTACATTTTTTTCCTCATTGTATTGTGACTGAAGTCCTGAGAAATACAATGACTGTTGGAAGCATTTGCATCACATTTCTCCTTGTAACAATCCAGAAGTCCTTTATAAAACAAATAGCAACATAAAAGCAATCCATTAAAAGGTTATTGACAAATTGAAGTACTTTATTAAATTTTATTTCCTTAAAAACAGATTGTGTTAATGCACTTCTAATGATTGTACGTTCCACTAAACAGTAGACCTAATTCCAAATAGAAATGCATAGAACCACTGTTTTTTTAGATTTTTTTTTATCCCACCTTTATTATTTTTTATAAATAAGGCGATAAACATACCTAATACTCTTTCCTGCTTCTATTTTCCCCACAACAACAACCCTGTGAGGTGAGTTGGGCTGAGAGAGAGAGACTGGCCCAGAATCACCCAGCCAGCTTTCATACCTAAGGTGGGACTAGAACTCATAGTCTCCTGGTTTCTAGCCTGGTGCCTTAACCACTAGACCAAACTGCACATAATAATCATACCAGTTATTTATGCAACAATTATGTCAGATGTAACTGTTCCCTTGTTATAACATTATTATTCCAGTTTTGCAGATTGAGAATGAAAAGCAAAGCCTGCCAAAGGTCATTTAGAGTTTATACAGTTCCTTTGACCTCTATAGTATACTAGCTGTCTAGTGTAAATGTAAGCAAGTTTTCTGCTGAAAATCTGCAAATTGCTTTTAGGTAACTTAACTGATATATAGTTATTTGTAATGTGTGTTTCAAAGCAGTGTGGCTCAAAAATATAACCTTCTGTATGGTTCTTATAGGACTGGGTCATTTTATTTATATTTATCCTTTCCTTGACAGTATTATGTGCCTTTTTATGTCCATTCTTCAAGTGCAATGAATTTGGGCAAAAGGTATATAGCAGCATTAAGTCACGTCTGCTGAAACTGAATTTTGGAGTACAAGACTTTATCAACCAAAAGTTAAAAGAGAGAGCTGGTAAGCAACTGGCAATTTCAGCTTCCTTGGTGAATATTAACTGTCACTTTATCCACTGATGCATGCAAGTACAAAAATATTCTTAGCATCTTCATGAGGGATAATAGTAAAGCTTCAAAACCTAACTGTATTTTATTTCCTGTAAATTAACAATTTCTCCATGTATGTGTTTTAAATGACTGTACCCTCAAAAAGGTAAAATGCCATATAAATAAATAGACAGATGTAAAGATTATGCACCTGATATGCTGATTATAAATGCAAATTATGACTGAGAGGCACAGCTAAATTGTGACATATGCTTTTTTTTTTAATCAGTGCAGCAAATAAATAAAGATAGAAATACTTGATTGGCAAAATAGTCAACTTTAACTGATACAATCTTTTTTCCAGAAATGATCAAAACAAAACCAAGCGAGGATGACAGTGAACTAGAGTTATCAGCTTTATGTCCTCAGGTTGGTTGGTTCTTATATGAGGGTGGGTTTTTGTTGTTGTTGTTTTTTGTTTTTTTTAATGACAGTGAAGCATGTGAACTTTTTATTTGTTTTCACAGAACAATTCCTGCTAGCTCCCCGTATGGTCGCTTTCTCAGTTACAAAAATGAGGTGGAATTCTAGAAAGGCTCAGATAATCTGAGCCTTTGCCTACTGGAAGGCAAACTCAGTGTGATTGCTTTCCACATAAATATGCACAGTATTGCAGCATAAAAGAAATAGAGATGCATTTTTTTCCTAAACCTCTTGATCTGAGAAGGTTGTCATTAAGAAAAAAAGTAGGCATTTCCTAAGTATATCAGCATGAAATCTTTGTAAGTTTAGTTATTCAGTCTCCAGAGAATGTATGTATCCTGTAGTCTCAGCAATCAGTATCAAAGTCTTAAGCAGAGTTAAGTTAGAAAGTGTACATGCAATGGGATATCAGGGTTTCATCGGCCCATTCCCCCTTTATTCACAGAATGCTGCCTCCATCTCATCTTCATGCATTCTGGTTAGCTTTTTCGTGGGAGGTGCTGCTAATAATCTTGATCTATATAAACCATATATCTTGATTGACTGTATAATATGACATGATTAGGGTTTGTGTGTGTGTGTGTGTACACATATAAGAATGTGTATATATTCTTATGTATATGAGGCCCTATGCAGATGACTGGTCAAATATACAAATAGCCTGCAATAGCTATATGCAAATGTCAGAGGTTATTTCAATCCTGAGCCTTCATTGAATACGGAGGCCGATCTGAAAACGCCAAGGTTAGTTAATTGAACTTATTTGTGCATATGAATTCATTTAAAATCTATTGAAACAAGTGTTTAGATATATGGAAAGGGGAATTGAAACACCCAAAACATTTGTGCTTTCCTGTTTTCTCACTCCTATTTTTGAAACGTTTCTCCTCCTAGCTTGATAAGAAAATTATTGGAATGTAGGTGTATCGCCATTGCCTAAATAAAGAAGCAACTATTCACTCTATAATGACAAGACAGCGTCAGGCTTACTGTGCTGAAATGGAAAGTGATAATGTGTACTGAAGCAGTGTTTAGTCTGCAGTATGTTTGATAATTTGGCTTTTCAAAATACAGGTTAGCTCGGCAACTGCAGCCAAGGAGATGTCTGTATCAGACACTGATGTCTCAGAGGTATCTTGGACTGACAATGGAACTTTTAACTTATCTGAGGGAAACACTCCACAGACAGACACGTCCGATGGTATGTTCCACTATTTTGAACTCTTCCGGGATTTTATCAAGTCGTTAATTGCAGATTACTTTTAGCTGTCTAAAATCAAAGAATCCTACTGTGATTCCCAAATATATGCCTAATATTCCTTGTAATCTAGATGTTAACTTCTAATTTGGAAAAAAGTTTTCACGCAAACTCCTTTAGGTTAAACAGTAATGGAAATCTACATACACAAATCTGTCAGAATACAGACTGGCACAAAGACTGGCAAATCTGAAGAGTGAAACGTAAATAAATAAATTCCATTTTACAGTTAGTCCAGAAAAGCCAGTGGCCATTAGTTTTATATACATAAATTACAACCAACATGTTACCCTAACGTTGGTTGCAATTTATATATATATAAAACTAGTGGCCGCTGGCTTTTCCAGACTAACTGTAAAATGGAATTTATTTGTTTATTTAGATTTGCCAGTCTTTGTGCCAGTTGTCTTCTCTGTCTCTCCCTCACCTCAAACATTGATGGTATTGCATTCTGTGTTCTGACAGATAGAGGTCCTATCCCATTAATTAACAATTTAACTCACTTAGGATTGAGCCTTTTTTTATTAGACTTAACCCTTACATTTTCATTTCTGAATGTTGCTGAAACTGAACTTATTTTTTGTTCCTTCCTTGTATACAGAAATTTGTGCATTATCATACCTCAGAAAGAAAGGTTAAAGTTGCAATTGTGGTGATTGCTTATTTATAACAGCATTTCTTGTTCACCATTCGGTAGATTTTGATCGGCCAAGTGATCATGAGGAAGCTTTTGCAAAAGATCTTGCAGAATTTCCATCTGTAGAAAATGGTGCGGGAACAAATGATGATGATGATTCAAGCATTGGCTTGCCCGTTCAGCACGAGAGAAAAAAAGATCATCGCTCAACCTCATTGGACCGGTATTACAGGCAGGGTAAGGAGGGGCACTCTGCAGCAGGCCTTTCCTTGCCTTTGATCAGTGACCAGGCCTTCAGCTTGGTGACAGCAATTGCTGGTGATGTTGTCACATCTGTGGTATCAGCAGCCGTCAGAGAACAGTTGCAATCTGTGCAAGCAGTCCCAAGTATAAGTGAAGAGGCAGAAGAAGGAGATGATTTTGAACTGCTTGACCAGTCAGAGCTTGAACAGATGGAGAGTGAACTGGTGCTTACCAAAAGTCAAAAGGCAGAACCACAGGAAAAGAAATCTTCAGGCTTCCTGTCAAATCTGCTTGGTGGGCATTAATGTGGAAGGTGAAGCTGCTTAATGGTATATAGAAATAAGTACAGACAATGTGAAATGCAGGAAGAGAAATTATGAGCTGTAAGCTTTATCTATTATTCTAGATGTGCTGTAGCATTCTTCATGCAGAGTGAACTAACGTGTCTTAGATCAGTTGATTTGTTTCTGATAGTGATGCCATAGAAATGAAAAATCTATCATGTTATTTTGATTCACAGCAATTTAAGCTACTTATACAAATGTAGCTCATTTTTGGCTATTGCCAAATCTTTGTCACTTCAGCCTGTTTGTTCTTTTTTTTTTTTCCCCAAGCATTTAGGCAGCAATATTTCAGGAAGAGAAAATATCTGCAAAATTCAAGAAGCCATTATGTCCTATACGTGTCTCCTATGTAGCAGAATATGTAAACCTCCAGAGTAAACAAGAGTCTGAACACTTCTGCTGTTATCATCTCTAATGTACTAAGCTACACATTCTCGAATTGGATCGTCATTGTTTGTATTACCTGTCTGAATCTTCAGATATTCATATGGATTAGCTAGAGAAGGCAATGCCTTTTCAAACTGTATTAATTCTTACAGGCCTTGGAGTTAGGCAAAATGTTCAAGTTCCCATGTACCCCCTCTAACTTTGTACTTGGTCCCTGTGGCAGCTACTTCAATCAGTCAATCAGTTTTATTGATTAGTCTTGCAACCATATCAACCAGGAGGAGAAACATCAGTGTGGCAGCTACTTGTAGCCCATGTATCTGCTGTGTGGAGTTGAATTTGGGTTGAGTAGAAATTGATTAGGAAAAAATTCAAAACTGAAATTGAATTGACAATCTTTTACTTCCATTAATTTTAAGTTCTTTAAACTTATATTTAACTAAAATATAAAATTATACAGATCTGATTTATTTAGTTTTGCAAGACTACTATTACAGAAGAAATAAGAATATTCCTGGCATATAAATATAAAATACAGCTAATTTTAGCACATTGTACATCCTGTGGCTGGCTCTGAGAAGAATCTTAAGTTACTAAATCTTCTATTAAGCATTATGGTTTACCTTTAAAATTGATGGTAACTGGAGTGCCTTATCAAGGTTAACCAAATTTTAAAAAAAAAATCCCACTAGTTTTACTACATGCTGTAAGAAGCCAGCAGATTGAGGGACCGTATCAGCTGAGTTATGAGAGAACTAACTTCCTCTGAATGAAAAACATGAGTTGGAAATATTGAAAAAGTACTCAGAAAGGCTTTCATTTTTAAAAGCATACTAGGTATCACTGATTGTCCAAATGTCAACAAGACCCATCTGTAGCTGCCTCTGGCTGGTAGCCAATCTATCTTATGCAAATCCACCAGTTGTTTCTCACATTGTAATAACTGACGTATTGATTGGGAGACAGCTCTTTTTGTCTCCCATTTGCCTCTGTTTATTCCATTCATTTGTATTTGAAGAGCTAACTTACTGATTTGTAAATAACATTTGCCTAATGCAGGCTTTTCACCTTTTTCACCTAGCTCTACATGACTGTCTTTTTCTTATCTACCCTATCAACTCCTGATAAGGGGTTAGCTTCAAAGGATGACACTTCCCTTCCTCTGCACCCTAATTGCAAGGAGCAATATGGATTTAACTCCTTAGATTTATCAGAGTGCTCAGTTTGATTTATCTGGTTCTTAATAAATTCCACGAAGGAATCTTTTAGAGAGTCAATTTGATTTTTAATCGTGGTCAATAACTCAGATTGAAAGAACAGTCTGTGCAGTCAATAGACTGTGTCTGATTATAAATTCTAATGTATTTTGGTCTTTCAAGCTTTTTTGGTCAGAGACTCCTTCCTGATTTAGTTGTTCGGCAATTGAGCAAACCGCAACAGCCTGTGCGGAGGGAGCATTTTCTATCAGAGATGAAGTAAGCTCCAACAGTTGTTGACTCTCTATCTCAGCCTGTAGATCCCACTCTAAGGGGTCATATCTGTTCGGTAAATGAAACGGGGAAGCATTATTTACTGGAGAAATTCGCTTACTTGTGACGAATCTGTCCACCTTCTGTTGTTTCAGCGGCTTGGATGAGGGTTGCGTTGCAGAAGGTGTCCCTTGTCGCTTCTTCCTTTTCCCCATATCGGAAGATATGCAGTATAAATAGGGTATAGATAGGCAAGGAAGGCTCCGTAGAAGAAAAACAAACTCTCTAATATTGAATGGTAAGTTTAAAATGTGCATTAAATAGAGATAAAGGGAGCTTGTTAGAGGAGCTTGTTACAAAGACTACAGCCACGTCGCCATCTTCAATCCCCCTGACCATATCAGTTGCTCTGATTCATCTCCAACTTGTAGAGATTTTTACTGGCATTCTAACCAGTGAATATAGTAATTTTGTGACCCTTCAAAGTAAAAGTGCAGTTTAAAGAGAAGTTAATTTTCTTCCTGCTATGTTTATTAGGTAGCCCGCAAGGTAAATGTTGCTTTGCAACGTGCAAATCTGAGCAAAATGTTACACTAGAAGTTCAATTCCAAGTCTTATCCCTTCTCCTACCTTCTCTAAAACATTCAGTAAAGTCCATATGCTCAAGGCTAAACTAGTCCAGTGTCAGTTCTAACTCCAAAGCAGTCTGGTCAACAATTTCTATAGATCTTTACCAAATAATGTTACTGTGTTTCAGATATGGAAGTATAGAGAAATACTTGGCTGCAATCACTCAGAGTGAAAACAGGACATAGCGTTTTAGAAGGTACTACGGATAGTACTTGCTAAGCAACTGCCCTGTTTAGCAACCGTTTGTGCTGAAAAAGTAACTTTATGACCAGTCCTTGCACTTAAAACGTCACAGCATCTCCGTGGTCATGTGATTGAGATTCAGGCACTTCGCAGCCAGCGGGCATTTATGGCTGTCGCATTTAGAACCATGGTCATGTGATCACCATTTCTGCGCTTCGCAGCTGGCTTCCGATAAGCAGAGTCAACAGAGAAACCGGCAGTAAAATTGCAAGTCACGGTCACATGATGTCTCGCTTAATGATGGTGTGTGATTCACTTAACTACCACAGCAGAAGTGAGGTCATAAGTCTGTCATGGTCACATGATGTCTTGCTTAATAACTACATCGCTTAGTGACAGAGTTGCTGGTCCCAATTGCAATGGTTAAGCAAGGACTACCTGTACTCAGTTTAACTTATTGTGTAATGTCAGTTCTGCTTTTTATTCAGGATGTTCCACTCATTTTTTAACCTAGAGTAACATAGTTGAAAGTGGTTTTAAACTCAGTAAAAGATGGGTGTCATCACATAACCCTAAGCATATTACTCCAAAGTAAATAGGGTAGTGCACAGCATTAGAAGGGCTGCTATAGAAAGCAGTCCTCTTAGAAACTTTGAGGTAGCCACATCCCCCAGAAGCCTCAGCACACTAGGATTTCCTGTGTCATCTCCATGTGCATCTATAGCTACTTTGTTTTACTGGCAGTCCCAGTGGAAGTGTTGTCTGTACATGGACATTCAGGCAGCCTGGGAAAACTTTCAGAGCAGTTGTGTTAAGCCTTTTGTATACGGTTGCCTCAAAGTTTGAGGGATGCTTTGCTCAGATCAATGTGTTTTGCGAAGTGTCCTTTTCAAATTCTTTGCACAGTCCTAAAAGTAAATCCCCTTAAGACATGCTTAATGGCCCCTTTCTAAGGAGAGCACCTGGTTTCAGCAAAATCAGTGTTCTGACAAACTGGTTTAATACCAAGTCCTGACAGATCTCACCAAATATATTAGATGTTTGTATGGTTCTAGCTTTGATACTGCTGGGCAGTGTCATGATTTAAAATATAAAATAGAAGACTCTTCTATTGAATAGAATGCAAGGTCATTAAATTATGTTTCCTTTTTATAATAAAGTTAATGGAATCTTACCATTAAATGGGTAAGGCCACAATCCAAAACACATAGGAGTGAGTGGGATTTACTTCCAAGGAAACATGCTGCAGATTGTAGATCTAAAGAACAGGGAGGTGACTTATGTAACTTAAACTAATAAAAGAATCTTCCCAGTTCTGTCAATTGTGTTGTGAACTGTAACTGTGTGCACTTTATAATTTTCTTTAAATAAATGTTTCAGGGATTTTCAAATGTCAGATACAGAGATACTGTTTTAGAGAATGAAGTTTCATTGCTGAAAACAGCTGAAGGGTCTATTTAAGACTTCTTGTAAGCAATTCTCTTTCTGGTTTTCAGGTAAACAATAATAATAATGTATTGGAACCTTTGTCTTTCTTTGTGTTTATTTTTGAACATACAGTCTAAAGATCTATTTATGGCACATCCAAAGGTCTGAACACGCTGAGATTTTTTTCCCCCTTAGTTCTACAGTTAAAAAGTGGCTTGCCTTATAGCATATTTGACAGATCTGAGCCTTCCATCAACCAGAGTGATTTGTGTGGCTTTTTCGATTCTGGCTGTGCTTATAGTCAGTGAATAGACTAATCCCCCACTGATTTATGATTTAATCGTCTTTCCATCATATATAAATATACTAGCTTACTGAAGCAAGAACTCAAAAAATGGTTTCAAGTTATACCCAATATTTCAGTATCAATACTTCAGATTTTTGGATATCTGCCATTGCAGGGGTATATAATGATATATAATGACATTGGCTTTATTCTTTTGAAAGAATAGAAACAAGACCAGAAATAGCCAACTAAAGAAAGGTTAATAGGCAAAACTTTAGAAAATGTAGAGTGAGTATGGCTTATAAATGATTTAAAGAGTTAAAAAAGCCAACTCCACAAATATGGCAGATCTAAGCAAATGATACTACAGGGAAGAATTATATTAGTATGCAAGAATTGGGTAATATTTCTCTTTACCTTTAAAAAAGGTAGGTATTTGTGCCACAAGGAGTTTCCATCACAAAGTTCACACCTTCTGCAAGCCTTTTTTAATACTCATTTGCACTGCACTTGACTTACTAGGGAGAACTTTCTGAGCACGTGTCTACTTAAGAGCAATGCATCATTATAAAAACGTTTGAACATAATCTTCAGTGTAGCAGCTTCACAGTTTCTCCTATAGCATGAAGCTTGTTTAACTCTTTCTTAATTATATCCAAGAGTGTTCAAGTCGTAATTAAGTATGTTATCTTGGACTTTCACAACAAAATTGATAAGCAACAACAGGTAAATTGCAAAGCTTTTTTTTTTTTTTTGAAATAAGAATCTTTACAGTGAAATATTCTGCATAAACAGGTTAAATCCTAAACCCACTTCCTTGGAAGTGTAAATTACATTGAAACCAATGAGTGTGAATAAACAGAGTGTTCCAGAGTGGGTGGCCATAATAAGTTTAGTAAGTAAATAAACAAGCATTACTAAAATATTTTTCAGAAACTAACATATAGGTTTGGATATATTTCCAACAAGTGGAAAGATTGAGAATGGCAGTTTTCAAATGACAATTGCAATATTCTGCTTGGATGTCTGTTCTTGTCTTCTGGCCTGTTTAACAGCTTTATTCCTCCTGCATTTTTTTTTTATGCCAATGGAAGTGCAAAGGCACAAAATATCCTATAATACCTTCCAAGTAATATACTGGTTTGTGGTTAATGATTGGCTATTACATAATGTCTTGCAGTATAGCTGTTGTGGTAGATGGCCTCCGTATTTCTGAAGGTATAGCACTAACATTATGTTATAAGCCTAAAGCAATTTTATGTAAGCATATTTGGTTATAGAAATGCATCATGTCTTAAAAAAAAAATCCTAGTGATGAGTAATATCAGAATTTTAAATAGAAATTAATGTCTGTGGCATTCAAATTACTAGTTCTGGCCAACATCTCCCATGGTTCCCCTCAACTAACTATTCAACTACAACTCTTTAGTTACAGTTTCGTTAGAATGTTCTAAAATGTCAACAAAATATAAACTTTTGAGATCTAACCGTATATAAGATTGGACTGTGATTTTTTTTCCCCAGACCTCTCAATTCAAGAAAGTGCTATTGTTTTCATACAAAGAAGTAAAACAAAATAATTATTCATAGAGATTACTATTCAATCTAAATAGGTGTTGTATAATGGAATGAGCACATGAAGCCATTTTTACCCCTGGATATCAGTGGAGGAGAATTCATCGTGTGCTTTGCACTAATTGGAATGTTATTTAAATTCTGGATCATAAGTTACCCAATACTATCAAATACATAGAAATATTTTCAAAACATACATAAAGTTGGAATATGTGGAGGTACATTATAGTTAGGTTACTATGAGACTAATAGAAATGAGTGTTTATGCTCTTGATTTTTTTGTATAAATGCCGTAATATTCACTTTCATGTTTTTACAAATTTGATTTTATTAGAAAAGCAGTGCAGTTTTTAGGCACTCTCTACCAAATAACCAGAAACAGGATTTTTAAAAGAAGTCTTAAATTATTTTAAGTATTTTGCAGCACTTTAGCATGATTATGATTTAATAAACACGGATTGATGGTTATGAAAATGGTTTGAACTGTTTAATGTCTATGTTTTATTTTTGTTACAAGCTACATACATGTTAATATTTAACACATTATCATCTTTATTTTGATTTTTTAATCTGTACGAACCACTGTAATCTTGAGGGACATATGAAATAAAATATTTAATCTTTATGCTACATAATAATTTCAGACATTATCAAATGAGCAATTTTTGGTTTAGCTCTTCATATACCTTTTGAGTACTGAATGGACAACACCCACTATGGAATTTAGGAAATATGTTTTTTAAAAGGACTCTTGAAATCTGTGTATTAAGAAAATAAGTCTTTATGTGTTAGAGAATCATAAATAAGAATTTGGATTATAAGGAAAAACTGACTTTTAAAGTATTGATTCAAAATCTAATGTGTAGTTATAAGGCAGCAAAAAGGCACTGGTGGCTATACTTTTTATCCATTTAAAATAAAATATTGTGAGGGAAATACCAGGATACAGAGCTATGTCAACTGTTTTTTTTTTAATGTAATTAATTTCTATAACCTGCTCACATAAAAGATATCCTGGTGGCTTTCAATATGACATCATAAAAAAACATTTATAAGCTAAAAATAGGCCATGAGGCAAGCTGAAATAACTTTTGTAGCAACTCCCTAAAGCTAGCGTAGGCAACTTGGTGCTATCCAGACATTTGGGACTATCATTTCATAATACTGTACATGACTTTTATTTTGGATATAGTTTTGGTAGACAATAATACTCCCAAAACTTGGGTTAAAAATTCTCTGCAAAATATCCTGCAGCTTTTTCTTTGCAAAATATATTTAAAGGAAGAGTCCGATTTCAATTTTGTACAGTGACTAAGTAAAAATATGATTCACATTTTTTACCCAGTTGGGGTGGCAGAGAACTTTTTTTTAAAGCCTAGAAGAGATCCATAATGGATAGAAATAATTTATCGGAGTAGGATGGCAAAGATACAGAACAAGTAGTGTGCAAAATTCATGCAACAAGTGTGAAGTAAACCTGTAGATACATTTATACAAGCTTCTAGACCTGATGTTTCAATTGTACCTTATATACCAATATTGTTTAATCTGCTATTAGCTTGCTTGCTTGCTTATTAATTAATTAAATTTCTCCCCGTCCATCTCCCCCCATTCATTTGCCTGAATGGAACCCTTATGCTAACTGGGTTGAGAAATACAGACCTGAGCATTAAGAGTTCACTAAATCTCTTCACATCTAATCATTGTGTTCAGTTATATGTGTACCTTGCTTTCATGATCAAGAACTCAGATAAACCATAGAAACACACCAAGTCATGAATAGGAAATGGACTATTGGGGTATACTTGTTGAGGTAAAAATCCCCTCAATTTCATGTTTATTAGGTAGGATTCCAAATACTTGTCTGAATTCAGTGTACTGATGTCATAGTAGCCATATTTGAGAAAAAGAACATTTATAATGTTCATTGCAAAACAGCTAAGCTACCATTCATCAGGAAATAGTACATCTTTTATGGACAGAGGCATACAGGGGTGGTAGTGATTTAATCAAAGTCCCACCCCTTTAGTAGGTGTGTTG